AGTCCAGGCGATATAATGATTGAAATCCATACTTTTCGTAGATTCCCTTCGCTAGAGGCACAGCCTCCAAAAACGCCAACTTTCCCTCCTCGTCTGCCCTCTCGACGCCCCATCTCAGAAGTGGACTGGCTGCGCCTTTCCCCTGGTGCTCTGTCCGGCAAATGATAAGCTCAAGGTACCAGTGTCTGGTTTCGCCCATAATCTCAGCGTGCTTCCTGCCAATGGAGCCAAAGAAGTGGTTCGCAAACTCTGGATTTCCTTCTTTCGGCCAGACGTCTGCTGGAGGCGGCGGCTCGACGTTTGTCTCATTGGGTCCTGCTGGGCGAACCCACTTTGCGCAAGCGATGGGGAGGTCGGGGTCCTCGTAGTCTGGATCAGTGATGATGAGCCACTGAGATCGAGGTTCGCTTATCTCTTCCGCAAAAGATTTGGCAAGGAAGTCGCGGACTTGCGTGGTTGCAGGGAAGCATGTTATGGAAACCGGGTTGTCATGGAAGGCGGAGAGGTAGATGGATGCGAGGGCCGGGCCGTCTGCTGGGATGGCGGTGCGAAGTTTGACGGGCATGATGGGAAGGGTTGAATGGCAGTTGCTGGTTGTGAACTGCTTCTCTAGTCGGAAATCCTTGCGATTCACTGTGCAGGCGTTTTCTACTCATCAACAACCTCAATGGCTTTTAGTTGTAGAGAGAGAAAGCCAGTCTTTGTGTCTCCTCCTCTTTGACTTTACGCACAGTTGTTGAAAGGAGCGGCGCAATCAATTGCCTCTTTGAGTATCGCGCTGGCGGGTTGGATGGCCGTTTCTGTGGCTATACTTTTGCTTCATAAGGAGAGCATGGGTACTTGCATAACTTTGTCTTATGTCTTTCATAATCACTCCATGAATTCCCTACTCACTGAAAAGACTTAGCAAGTGCGGGGGCTACGTCCTGCCTGCAACTCTCACGCACAACCACAACAAAAGCAAAAGGAATATCCCCACGACAGAGATGAGATTTGAACTCATGCGGCCGAAGCCATATGATTGCGAGTTTAATTCGAGTCATACCCATTAACCACTCTGGCACTCTGCCCGTGTTAGATGCAGGGATGCAAAACAGCGTGGGTTAAGTTGCCTCCTGGGTGGTGTGGTGGAGGTTGTGGAGAAGTCGGCAATCCTCGGGGCGGGGTGACAACTTGGGGGCACCCAGACATGAAACGGCACTGCCTAATGAGGACTTCCAGCACTATATATGTTGATTCGGACTGAAGTTGATGGCCACAAGTGGTGACCTACGGCTTGTGAAGCAAAAGTGCGAATTTCAAGGAAGCTCCCGACGTAACTGCCATGAGGACAACGCTCTTTCTCCTTTTGTTATGTAAGACAAGACACCGCTCTTTTGTTACTGACATGAGCCTGAAAGATAAAACCTTTGACCTGGGTTAACACAAAGGTAGATGAGGGGTTGTGCCTAGCCGGACTTCCACCCCGGCCTCTTAACTTCGGAAGGAACAGTCGGGCCCCGATTACGGGCAAGCCTGCTCCCAACAGAAATATTCTATTGCTCCATAGTTGTGGTCACCATCACCTACATAAACTCAAGGAAACAACTTTCACATTAATCACCACTCGCATGCAAGCTCTCCCAAACTAATGCAAACACAACCCGAGTAGTTCCACGCCTGCCTCGAAGGGTATGGGCTAGTGGATCGTTAGTTGCGGGAGGTTCGGAACACTAAATCCAAGCTTAAAAGCGATGTACTGATCGGCTTGATCGGCCTAAAAGCCCTAAGCACGACATCGGTACGAACCGCGCTGCGATTACTAGCATCCCACCGGGACTGATATATCCCGGAGCTGGTCCCGGTCACCTCAGAGCTATGCGTTTTAAACTGTTATTCATCCCTTCTCTTGCGTGGGCGTATTCAATGCTTCAACGTTACAATCTTTAGATAGGCGAGTTATAATCGAAAACTGGAGGAAAAAAACCCCGGCATACCAAGCGGACGGTCACATGGCTTCTGAATGGTATCATTGCCGCCTGCAGCACTCTGTCTTGGCGAGCTCACTCAGCCTATGAGACGCCGGGCGATGCGGAGTAGCAGAGATGGCCCGACGGATAGTAGAGGCATAGGCGCAACCGAACAGAAGAACTTTAGCACTGCAGCGATGAATAACCTTGGTGACGTTGACCAATAGTGCCAAGAATTTGCGACATCCTTCCGACCTGCCTATTCCATATCAAAGGACCAGGCTCATCAATTGTCCGTCTTACAACATCCATCGCCAGAGAGGGGTCCACGTTCAGTACCTGAGGACCGAACTCCTAAGCGATGGTCTTATTCGAACGGTATTTTCGTCATGGCTTGGCTTATGCAGATCGTGCAGAATACTGGCCGATGAGTGAGCGAGCGAAATGCAAGTGTTCTGCAGCTACCTAGCCGTGAGGTTCATTTCCTGGGACTTTTGTGACATCCGAGTAACATGGCGTCGCTTGGCTTGGAAGATGGAAGGACGGACCACATTCTCGGTGCTATAAATGCTGACGACAGTCCTTCCACTTGCGGAATAAACTTCTCGCCCTGGACTGCATCTGACATTCAATCTCTGCGGCGGAAGTTTCCCCTCCAGTTGTGTTGGTAGAGAATCAGTCGCCAACATGAAGTCCAACGCGCTACTTGTCGCCATTGGCGCCTTCTCTGGCGTCTCCATTGCCAGAGAGCTGGAGCCCAGCGCCGAGCTGTCAGCCTGGTATGATACCGGCGCGGCTCATCAAGAGAGCATGGAGCACAAGATCGTAGGTCTGATCCTTAGTCTCCAAGCAGCATCAAATCTGACAGAACCAGGCCCAATGGGAACAAGCCGAGGCCGAAGGAAAGTTCGATTCGACTCAGTGGACGGGTCGCGTCAAAGACTATCTCGCATGCAAGGATGGCAAGGTAGAACTCGTCAAGGGCGACCCTCTTCAGACGTTCCGATGCAAGGATGTAAGTTAATGGTTGAGAATAGGATCGACCTAGTCGTCCTAGGAGCCAGAGAGTTTCGCTCACAAATGACAGCTCGACCTCTATGACTTTCAACCTCACGCAGCGTTTGGCAACTCAACCGGTAGAGGTTCAGGGTCGTGGGGATGGACGGCACCAAACGGCCGGGAGTTCTCTGCCATTGGACAGCTCGATGGCACCGCTTTTGCCGAAGTCTCGAAGCAGGGCAAACTGATATATCTCGGAAAATTGCCGTACTTCTCCGAGCCAAGCAGATGGCGTGAGATCAAAGCTTACAAGAACTATCTCGTCGTTGGTAGCGAGGCGCCTGGTCATGGAATCCAATTCTTTGACTTGCGCAAGGTATGTCAGACCTGCGGGGAATTTTTCGTGTCAAGCACACGTATAGGTGAGCTACGGACTAATACCGCTTCAGCTTCTCGACATTGACCCCAAGAACCCCGTTGTCTTCTCCAATGAGAAGGATTTGACGGCTCATTGGACCGAAGCTTTACCCCTTGGTCGCAGCCACAACGTCGTTGTCAACGAGGGAAAGGGATATGCCGTTGCCGTCGGCGCCCAGCCTCGTCGCAATCTTCCCTGCGACTCTGGCCTGCAGTTCCTCGATCTCGCCGACATCAACAACCCTCTCTACCTGGGTTGCGCGGCTGGCGATGGCTATGTTCATGACGCGCAGTGCATCGTGTACCGTGGACCTGATGTCAAGTACTGGGGCCGCGACATCTGCTATGGCTACAACGAAGATACCTTGACCATGTGAGTCCTTTGACGCCGACTTGTTCTACGCTCTTTTCTGACAAGCTCTCAAGCTACGATGTGACCGAGAAGAACAGCACCAACATCATCTCTCGTACAACTTACGAGGGTGCGACCTACACTCACCAGGGCTGGGTTATTGACCCCAACTGGCAGGACTTCTTGGTTTTGGACGACGAGATTGACGAGAGGAACAAGACTGGCCCGGCGGCTGACGGTTTCCCTGTGACCTACTTCTGGGACATCAGATCCCTTGAGAAACCCAAGAACTCTGGCATTTTCAAGGGTACTGTGCGGAGTGTCGACCACAACCAATTCGTCCACCGCGGTCTGGCGTACCAGAGCAACTATGGTGCTGGGCTTCGTATCCTGGACATCTCATCCATTCGATGGGATCCCACAGCCAAGAACGTCAAGGAGATTGCCTACTTTGATATCTTCCCAGAAGATGATAATGAGCCTGGCGGTGGAGCAAACAACTACACTGGTACTTGGAGCCATTATCCGTACTTCAAAAGTGGCTACATTGTCATCAACACTATCGAACGTGGCGTTTGGGTTGTGAAACGATCCAACCCCTGGTGGTGGCCGTGGTAAGGGGCAGACTTCACGTCTATCGAGATATGGCCAACAGGCATCTCGCCGAAGGAGCAAATAATTTTCTTGTACATAGTATAAACTACAGGATCTTATCAGAATCGCGGATTCTTCAAGATGGATTCTAGCTCTACTCAGCGCTGCATTTTCGAAATGCGCCAGTCGAAGGGTCTGACAAGTGAACGTGCCATTCAATGGTAATCGTCCAAACAATCAACCAGGTTACAAGCGCGATGGTCTGTTCGCCTCACCAACTCACACTTCAGTCTCACTAATTGGGTGGTGTAATCTGGAGAACCGCTGCTCAGGGATTCAATGGCTGACGCTCAATCGGGGCAGAAACTCCACCAAGCATTACGTCGGTCCACACAGGCCATGCATGCAGGCCAAGACTGCTGAGGCAGAATATCCGGGAACGACGTGCCGTCTACTTGGCGTAACGCGGCACTACCTTGACTCCCGACATCATACTCTTTCGAAGGGGGCAAATGGTTCTACCAAGAGCAAACGCCGAGGACGCGTGGACGTCGATTTGAAATGAGTTAATACCTGCATTGCCGAGTCCCGGATTAAGCTTCTTTCATTTTACATTCACCCACACTTTGTTTTTGCCTTTCTGTCTCTAGCCTTCAGACCTGCTTTTAGCGTTTGAACTTTGGGCACGAATGCCTCGTTCCCAGTCTCCAAGAGAGGATGGCGCCCAACAGGTCAAAGACCCTGACAACTGGAGTGGGCAGGTAGATGGCGAACTTACCCAAAGCGATGGTTGGCAACATGGCTTGTGCGGATGCTGTGCATCCTGCGAGCTTTGCCTCCTGAGCACCTTTGTGCCATGTCTTCGTATGCCACCCCCTGATCGTGGCGGTCATTGTTTTGCTGACAGATCTCTAAAGTGCTTGGACAGACCTCCCATCGAATCAAGGAGCCCTCAATGAAGAATTACAGGTATATCAACCGCGATTGCCTTTTGATGATGGGAGTCACATATCTTACAGGCTTTGGTTGGATGTAAGTCGGCTGAGTCAAGACTTGACGATTTTCCACCTTCAAGTTACTAACAATGCATTCCAGGTATGTCATGGAGAAGCGCTTTGAGATTCGCAAGCGCTATGGGATCAAAGGTACCGATGCGAGAGACTGCTGCGCATCCTACTGGTGTCTTTCATCTGCTTTGGTTCAGCATGAGAGAGAAGTGCTTACCCGGCAGGCTAGCAGGAGTGATCCCATCACTGAGGGTTATCAGACTCAAACTGCCATGGAATTGCCTTCTAGATATACGCAGCCCACTACATAGAGTTTGAATGGGATTGTATTTCTCTGGGGCCAATATACTCCTCGTGATTTGGAGGTGCTTGTAGGTTTGGGCACAGCTGGCATCGGCACACATTGACGTGTGTGGATAAACGTGAAAAACTGGAGGTATCTCAGTCCCAGCTACAATAACTTGCAGGTTCGGAGTGTCAGTTTCTATCACAATTCAACTGGTAAGTATATTGTCTCGTATTCTATCTTGTGTACTGTCTTTAAGTCGTTGTCGGGATCGACTGATAACTTGATGACTGGGTTAAACTCCAAAGGTCACATAATATTACTACCAAAGATTGATATGTCTCAGCTCAAGTGTTTAACCAATACATATCTTACGGAATCTACAGAGATTCTTTCAAAATTTGTTGCAATGTTTAACTGTTGGACCCGATGGAGTGATGAATAACAATTTCTTCCAACCCACGTCCCGAAAAGCTAATCAAGCGATAGCACTGGATCACATCCATCAACTCACTTTACCTTATCGAGACCGACAAGAAGAACCGATCGGGATCTCTTTCTAGCATACAAATCAGTTGTCGTCGTTCTCGGTGGCGCCGGAATGATGGCGGTGATACTTTGAGTCAATGACCTAGTTCAGCCCCATACTTATATCAGGGAGTGGGTGGTCAAGGCACTTTAAACAAAGTTAATTCTGCTCCTTCATATAAAAAACGCGCTGAGAGTGCCGATCAGTCTTCAACTACACGCTGAGTAAGGTGATCTACAGCATCTTTGATGATGGCCTCGAGTCAACACTAACAAAGTCCGATCTCTCCGTAGATATTGTAATAGACTTACCTAATGCGATTCGGTTTCTCGATTGCACAATGCGATCGAGTACATAGTCCAAGGAGTTCCCGGCCGTAAAGACGATGCTTTGGTGATTCAAGACATTAAGCTTGATTCAGCTATACACTCATTTATTCTTGTCCATTTTCGAGCTGTTGCTATCGACAATGGCGGCTCGTCTGTTCTTTTCCTTCGGGCTTCTGAGCACCGTTGTGCTTGGCTCCCCTCCGGAAACCGCCATCGCAGCCCGCGCTTTTGACTGCTCTCCGGGATCGGAAACAGGACTTAAGCCCGAGTGCTGGGCTCAGTTGAACGTGTCAGACTACATCACCAAATGGCTGGCTGAGAACGGCACCAAGGCCGACTGCGACAACCTGGGATTCGCCCAGTGTTTCTTGGCTTTCAACGGCTACGGTGGTCGAACTTGCGATACCCTCACTCGCGATACGTGTGCAGCCTTTGAAACTGCCGGTGTCGACGCCGCCTACTCTTCGCCCCAACAATTCTACACTCTTTGGAACATCTACGCCATTTCTCAGTTTTTCAATCAGTTCTCGGAGGCTCTTTGGAATGGCCACACCCTCGCTGCGGATACGATCGGGGACATCGTTGCCACCGTATCCCCATCTACCGACCCTGAAGTTCCAAGCAACCTATTGTGGACTTCGATCTCTGGCGGATTCTGGATGGCCGCTGTTGGTGCCTTTGCCAATCCCCTCCTGGCTGGAGTCGCCACGGGCATGGCTGTTGTCACAGGAATGAGCTCTTTCTTCATGTCCTCAGTGGCAGGCTCTTCCAACTCGCGATTCATCACTCTCGGTGAGATCGGGAGCAGCCTTGCTCAGCTTATCATTGACTACCAAGGTAGCCTCGAAGGCGCCTTGAAGGAGCTCCAGGGCAACAGCACCCTGTTCCTGGCCGCAACGGAGCCTGGTGGCTTCAGCCAGCGTGCTGTGACCAGCTTGAATCTCCAATCCACCGAGCTCTACCACGATCTGCAACTCTATATCCTTTCTCTATCTCTCAAGGCCAACGGCATTGTTTCCACTCGCTCGACCGGCGTCAATGCCCTCGACTACGCACCCGACACCAACGGCGCCGTCTCATGCCCTGGTCTTGGTCCCGCGGGTAATTGCTATCAATTCTGGATCGACCCGGATACGGGCGACTCGTACGCGCTGCACAACCCGAAGGACTGGAAGAACGACTATGTCGATGTGCTCAACAAGATCCATGACAAGAACTGGGCGAACCTCAGTGAGATTTTCAAGGTGGAGGATTGCCAGGGCAAAGATCCGAGCTTTGACGGAAAAACGAAAGTGACTTGCCTGGCGTCGCACGGATTTTGCGAGTGGGATTACGTTGATCAAGACACCGTCACCAAGTCCAGGACGGCTAACAAGCAGTTCACCAATTGTGACAACGACAAATCGTGGGGCACTCTTTGTGACTGGATGAACGGTGGTCTTGTGATGCCCGAGGCCTACCTCGGACCTCTCTTCAAGTTCCAGGAGCCTGCGTGGTGCAGAGAGCACTAGCTTTTCGAGGCTTAGCTTTTGAATTTGTACACAATACCCGTGTAATCATAGAGTATCATCTTCGAATGCAATGAGGTTCGATTATAGCAACATCAAATCGCGTGTTAGTTCTGATGTCAAGTGCATTCGTCTTTCATCCCTAAACATGCCGTCGTGTGCAATTACCTGGAGAGAAGAATGTGTTATTCATTTGCGCCTCAATTGCAAAATGGTGATGTCTATATAGTAAAATCATCTCAAGACTGCCACAATCACTGAATGATCTCGAGTCCGGTGGAGCACGTGCTGAAGGGATGCAATAATCGCCACGAGCCAGCAGGTGAACGTGGGGGATCGTGTGACATGGACAGGGCTAGCGGAATTACCGGCATGCAGATCAGAGATTTCGCTTTCGGATTGCGGGATCTCGCATGTAGTCAATCTTAGTGTCAGCACCAGGCGGATATCACACTCGACGCATCCGATTTCGATCACCTATATCGAAACCAGGATATAAGGTTGAGTACATCCTGACTCCCGCATCTGATGTTGCCGCACACACTGCAGCTTTGGTCAATTGTAAGACTCAGGCTACTAAATCTAGATGCCACGCGGGAAAGAATTACAGCCAACCTTCACTGAAGTCGAAGGGAGCGTCATAGTGATGGACATCATCAATCAACAGGATGACCTATCGATTTCGTGAAATATATCTAATGTACCTGGAGTATGTCATATTACCTTCCAACGTTCCTCATCTTGAGCCACTTGAAGTTGATTAAAGGACATGTGCTTTGCCTCAAAGATGAATATGAAGTTCTGTATCTGCGTGTCCCATGACTCTGTTGAATTCCTGCATAAAATACTTCTAACAGTTTTGTCCGTCCATGAACCCCTTGCCTACGTCTAACCCGTCCAGATCCGGAACTCAGACAGACTCATGGCATGTCGATTCGGTCTCTACAGACCATAGCTATGTGTATCAAAAGCTACTACCTTTCCAGGCTCTGTGATCGACCCATTGACCGGCGCTGCAAGAGACCCTCCAGTAACAACATACAAGATCCCCTTGTCCTTGACGTTCCGTCCGAATGCAGTGGCGGTTCCTCCAGCGACAGTCAGTTCCGTCTCTGAGCCGGCCACGACGGTGCCCTTGCCCTCGGGGGTGATGTAAACAAGCTTATCATCAATGTTGGTCACTGCCCAGATACCGCCCTTCTTATCGAAAGCAAAGTCATCGAGAAACGCAGCGATGGTGCTCACATCGGCAATCTGGTCGATAGTGGCCTTCGCCGCAACTCTACCCGAGCGATCGAGCTTGACCCGGAAGACCTTTCTAAAGGAGCTGTGGCTCCAGTACAGATAGTCTCCGCGGATTCGCACACCGTTGACTCCAATGGCCGGCACCGCTCCGGCTGCAGGCTCGAGATCTTGACCGCCTAGGATGGTCTCGTATTTCTTGGCTTTGACATCGAGTCTGTACACTTTGCCCAGCGCAGACTCGGCAACGAGAACAATGTTGCTATCCCACGGCAGAGAGACCACGCCATTCAAGAACGCCGCCTCTGGCACGTTGACAATCTTGTTCACCGTCGTCTTCTTGTCTGCGATGCTGACCTCCCACGCTGAAAAAGTACCGGGAACGCTGACACCGATGCCTGAGAAGTTACCGCCAACTACCACGAATGTGTCGGGGCAGGTCTCAGTGATGCCGAGAAGGCCATTTAGGTCTGAGAACCGGTGGACAAGCTCTGCTGATGGTGACTTCTCCCACGGTTTGGCGACTTGGTAAAGCTCGGAAGAGGTAAGAAGAGGTAGGAGGAGGTTGCCATTCTTGCGGACGGCGATGTTTTCGATCCAGTTGGGCTTTTCTGGGAATTGGTAGGCAGTACGTGAGGGCAGGCTCTGGCCTACGGCTAGAGCAATGTAAATTATTGACGACGCAATTAAGCCCCGCATATTTGCTGTGGTTTTGACGGGTATCTCTTTAAAGACGATGTACTCCGTACCACGAAGTCTCAATGTGAAAGAGTGAACGAGGTCTTGGTATGGTGATTGATACGGGATTCATGCAGTTAAATATGATGATCAACCTTGCAGATTCTTTCTCAGGCTAATTAAATGGATGCGCTGGCTTACCAACTTCCTGCATCTTACACAGGGTTCTCATTAGCTCCGGAGTTGTCGTCTTACTGAGATCGTGCAGGCGGAAAACCGCTTTACATGGTGTCTATGTCCGACGTGGCCCATAAAGATCTCCCCATAACGAAGCCAAGAGGTGCAGTAGCATGCACAAGCGATTGGTGATCGTTCATGTCTAGCCCGCAGAAGTTGTCGGCTAGAAGAATAGCGCAATCGCTTAGGAAGCTGACGTTGGAGTAAGGATTCAGCTGGGATCTTGGGTGCATGTTGGAACAAGCACCAGTGCATAAGCCAAGCACTAGGCCCATGGATAGATAAATCCGCGGAAATATTACCAATCGGTAACATTAATGATCAGATCCGATGACATTGAAGTAGTGAGAGTCCCAGATGTGCTAAAAGTTACTTAATCTTATAGCTTGGTGAGTTCCACGGAGAAGCTATAGCTGTGACTGTAGTTGTAGCTTGTGTTTGGTTCTCCACGACCATCAGTCCTCCCTATTTCCTTGCTCCTAGTACCCGCAAACGAGCACTGACTGTCCCGCAAGTTGGTCCACCGCAAACTCAAGGCTTTCTGCGTTAATACCTAGCTCTCCCAAGTAGGTACTCATCAAGTCCTCGAAATAGGTAGCGACTTTGCAATGGGCCAGTCATACTGTCGTAAGTGTACGTTCATCGATGTGGACAGATGATGTCATGTGGAAATCGGTATTGGTTCTGAACAATTGTTGGAAGCTCGTGGCGTTCGGGCTGCCAGCCTGGGCTGGTGCTGAATCGAAATCGAGCGCTTGCTCGCCAACCCGCAACCCCTGTCTGTGTCTCAACGCTCTACCCCAAGCAAATATCGTGATAAGGTATCAATTAGAGAAAGAAGGCATTGAGACCGTAGAATGTGAAGAAGAGCCGGTACTGGGAATGCCATTGAGGCTCCTAAAGCAAGACTTGGCTGCGACATCGGATCCAGGCATGCGGCTTGCATCGGGAGTGGGCGTATGTGAGTCGGGACGACGCCCTTCGTTCGTCATTAGCGCATTGGGGCCTGTCGAGTGAATCCCTCTAGGAGTCATCCTTAAGTTCAGGTTGAACGTCACATCGAAACTTCACAGACTTAAGTATAGAGAATCCAGCTCTCATTGTCCATACATGAAGCTGATCACCAAACAAGACATCATACTGCCCAACATGAGCAACCGGCTCGCCCAAGAGCTGAAGCAGCTGCACGTCCCCGCATCGCCAGTCATCTTCGCCAACGTCTGGGACCTAGCCTCCCTCAACGCGATCATCTCGCTTAACACCGCCGACTCAAAGCCCGTGAAAGCCATTGCAACCGCATCATGGGCCATCGCAGCAACAGTGGGCGTCAAAGATGAGGACCTCGAGCTAGAGCAAAACATGGCCGCGATAGGCCAACTCGCGCCCGCCGCCAAAGCCGCCGGCCTGCCACTCTCCGTTGACCTCCAAGACGGATACGGAGATCTGATCGACGAGGTCGTAACAGAAGTAGTCACGTTGGGCGCTAGCGGTGCCAACATTGAGGATAGCATTCCGTCAGCCGGATTCGAGAAGGGCATCGAAGGGTCTCTCTACGGCGTAGAGATGCAAGTCGCTCGCCTCAAGAGCGCCTTGGAGGCGGCTCGCGAGGCGGGGTGTCCTGACTTTGTCCTCAATGCCCGGTGCGATGTGTTCCGCCTCGAGCCGTATTGCGCGGCTGACGACGAGAGCGTACTGGTGGAAGCCGTGAAGCGGGGCCGGGCGTACCTGGAGGCCGGAGCGACGACTGTGTTTTTCTGGGGCGGTTCGGGACGCGGGCTGCGGACGTCGGAGGTTCGTGTGCTCGTGAAGGAGCTCGGAGGGCGGGTTGCTGTTAAGCTCGGGGATCGGGTGGACTCGTTGTCAACGAAGGAGCTGGGTGAGATTGGGGTAGCTAGGATCAGTGTGGGACCGAGTTTGTACCTTGTGGCGATGAACGCGGTGAAGGAATCTGCGAGAAGGATCTTGGACGGAGGGAAACTGGCTGCTTGAGAGCTTTGCCGTTGGAGAAAACTTGAGGCATATCGGGGCACAAATAACGCGGCTGAGGCTGAGCACCTTCGAACTGGATGTTTCAATCAACCAAGTTTGCTATGCGAGTTCCTCTCTTCTACGAATCAATGGTTGTATACCCCGCTCCAAGTATATGTGTATTTGGAGAGGACTCGAAACAGTCCTGCTCCAGTCGATATGTACAGGCTTTTCAATTGGCCTCCAGAGGCCTCTTTCACATCTTCCAAGTGATCAAATATCTCGTCTAGTTGATGGCGGCAGGGGGCTGCTGGCCAGGCAGAGGAATACTCTGCGGGTGGGCAGTGAACATGCCCTCGGGGTCGTACACGGCCTTGATCTCCTGCAACTTGGCATAGTTCTTGCCGTACAGGCGCTCGCTCCACTGATCAACGGTCAGAGCCGTATCGCGGTAGTTGACGAAGCCACGAAGGGGCACGCCCTCGGCGGCGAGCTGGTCCTTAAAGGGCTGGAAGCCGTTCTGCATGTAGCTCAGGCCGTCGGCGGGGAACTCGGTCAAGCCGGTGGCAAGACGGCCCTCCCAGCGGATGAGCCACAAGCTGTTGGCGTGGGCAAAGGAGGTGTCGTCGTCCTTGAGGGCCTTAGTAGGCTTGCCGCCCCAGAGGTCGATGAAGCCAAACTTTGTAAGGTCGGTGCGGTTGAAGGCCACGGTGGTGAAGTTGTAGAGGGCAGTGGCAGAGGCCTTTGTGAAGGGCTGGTCCTCACGAAGGACGAGGGCCTGGAGGTAGAAGTTGCGAGGGGGGAAGGTGTCGACGGGAATGTCGATGGAGGGGGTAGCGACATTCTCGACGGCCCAGAAGTCCTGGACGGTGCGAGTGAGCTGGGTGCCGTTAGGAAGCTTGGCCATGAGGGGCTCGAGGAGCTTGTCAAAGTCCTCGGGGTTGCCCCAGTAGAAGCCGGAGCCGGTGTAGGGAGGGGCGGTCAAGGACCAACGCATGGTGAGCTCGTCGGGCCACTGGCCGGAGAGGTAGTGCTCCTGGATGGCGAGGAGAGAGTCGACGCCGGCGGAGAGGGAGCTGTCGGTAAGCGTGATGGTGTAGTTGATGGCCTGCTGGTACGTGGGCTTCCAGGTCTTGGTGGTGAGGCTCAGGATGATACCATAGGAGCTGCCGGCTCCTTGCAGGGCCCAGAAAAGCTCGGGGTTCTTGGTGCGGGAGGTCTCAACAATGGTGCCGTTATAGAGCATGTAAGTGGCGCCCTCGAGGTAGTCCATGGGGGTTCCGAGCATGCGGGACAGGGAGCCGAAGCCGCCTCCAATGGAAGAGCCGATGAGGCCGACCATGTTGGCGCGGACGTGAGGGAAACGGGCGCCGTGCTCCTTCCAGAGCTGGCTGACGACGGGGCTCACAAGGGAGCCGCCGCCGTAGGTAAGCAGACCGGTAGCTTCATCATACTTGGTCTCCTGGAAGTGAGTCATGTTGATGGTGAGCCCTGCGTTGGGCAGACTGTAGGAGCCGTAGCAGTGGCCGCCATCACGGGCCGCGACCAGAACCTTTGCCTCCCGGGCACAGGCGAGAGCGGCGGCGACCTCATCGGTGGTGCGCGGCCAGGCGACACCGGCCGGAGTGGGGGCAATGCGGCGCTGCCACGGGAGGATATCGGTCGGGAACGAGGCGTTAGTCTCGGGGAACGATGTGAGGAGGCCGGCAGTTTCGAGGCAGGTCTCTAGACCCTGGGCCTGTGTGCACGAAGCGAGTGATGCCGTCGCGAAAGCGGCGAGGCTGAAAAGACGGACCATGGTGAATGAATGCAGCAGAAAAGGAGAGACTGAAGTTAGACTGGCAGAGCTTGGAGGCTTCTAGGGGACATCGCTTCCCGAAAACCACGCATTTGGGGCTTTGCTTTATATCTCATCTCTACTCCGTTTCCCCCTAATTCCCAACGTTCAATCATGATTTCTTGGCATCGTCTAGATGCACCACGCCGCCGGGCAGTTCTACCGCAAGTTGTAACGGAGGCATCCGCTCGCGTCGAGCTCGGCAGCACCGGACACCGGATGAACTGCTGCGGTGGTATTGGTAAGGGGGTTTAGCAGCAAAACGCTCGCCCGCAGAGTGACCCATCATACCAACTGCAATAAAGTTGCAGAAACCTTCTTAGATTGTTTCCCAGCTTTTCTGCAGATAGAGTTCGGCTTGGAATCAGGGATGACCCGCGTCACTGGGCTTGTGGAGAGGGCGTTGTTAGGCGCTCGAGTCATTGACTTTCGGGAGGAACTGAGCAGCATCAAGAAATTCTGGTCGCTATGAGGGACTCGTGATCAACATGAACAGAAATTCCTGTCAAATTGTTGCCTCGCTATTGCCGCATGCAGGAATGAGGCGAAGGTCGAACACGTTCTCTGCTGTATAGCGCCCTTTCGGCCAAGTTTGTTGAATACGCCGCACTCGGGACTGGGTGCCAAGAGTAAGTCCCAGGCGGCTCAAATATCGGCGCACTGCCACGGAGCATCGCGTTGCCAAGACAGACTATCCCCTGGGACATATTGCAGGATGGAATTGTAAGTTCCTGGGGATGAAAGAAATGAAATTTCGCACCATACACAACACCGCGATTCGCCGGATCCTCTCCATAAGCGTGTTCCATCTATCTGATCTGATGGCGAAGCACGTCTTGGAAATTTGGCCATTTGGATGAAGGTGAGTGCCAAGGCAACTCAATGATATGAACTTGGACAACTAGACACGCACATTAAACACTACAGGAACAGCCTTATGTATGGAGTCGGACGTTGAACACGATGAGGACAACTAATAGTTTTTTACACGCGCGTCATTGACTTTCAGGTCAAGGGACGCTTGCCAGATGGCAACTCCACACACATGTCCGTTGCCTGTATAGATCTAGAAATCACTCAACCAATCACAGAACAACCCATTCTGGATAAGGTTGTATAGTGTAGCGGTTATCACTCCAGATTTTGATTGCATCAAAATTTCTGGTAACCCCGGTTCGAACCCGGGTACGACCTCATTCTTTTGCGTTTTCTTTGCCTTTTGCCCTTTATGCTTCTTTGCTTGATTCCTAGTGAGCGTGATGCTAGTCATGATCCTCTAAATGTGTGTGAAGCAGTATTTTGTACTTTAACGTCATTATGGTTCAATTCCCGTCTAAAAAGATGGATGGTAGCGAACTCGTCCGTTCTCCAGCGATACTGGACGCGCGGCTGCAAAGCTTGACGGTATTATCGCATACTTTATTGTTTATTTCACCGAGGTAACTCTGCCTTTCATTTCCACCAGTAGCTTCAATCACTCGAGAGGCCTGCCTAAGCATCTGATAGGCTGCACCTCCTTGCCCCGTCTGCTTGTTGGTGCCCCCATCGACATTCAATTGTTGCCTTATCGTGCGCGGCACAACTCAAGACCTAGCGTGTGCGATCGGAGCAGGCATGTCGAGCTTCTTTCGGTCTCTGCGACATGACTTGCCGGAGCATCCCTGCACCCACCTCGCACAGAGGTCATCCAACAACCAAAATCCCCACGGGATGGCACATAGCTCCCGCCTGGTATTCATGCATCACAATCTTGACTCGGGTGAGTGAAAGAGTTGTGGGTGATGCGCTGACGTCCAACCTAAATGCACTGACGTCGATACCGACTGCTCGGAGCCGATGTGTGACAGCTTGTCTAGTCCGGCAAGGCAGATTGGTCAATCGCTCGTATAATTGCAGCCGATGCAGTGTTAGACGTGGGGGATGATGTTTAGAAATATGCATGTTTCCTGCTACCCCTGGGGATTGGCGAGCGGAATGACCAGGTGTTCTGGGGATCAAGTCGGTCCTGAGGATAAGCTTAAAGCCAACTTGATGCGCATCGTATTCTGCTCTTTGAGCATTTGAGAGGTGCCTTCGTGAGCTTTTGCTACCTCACCCATGTAATTCGTTGACAGTCCTCTTATTTTCCGTTGAAGCAAGCCCTGGACGTTGCTTCGTATCAGGTATGACACGCTTCAAGTCCTCGAAACCCAAGCTCAAGCCGGAGCACAACAGTTCAGAAAGCAAGCACTCGCCAAGCCACTCTCAGCGTCTTCAACAAGGTCTCGGTTCTCTAGGTCTCGCAACAGTAGGCGGCGGCACAGCCTTGGTCCTCGCACTCCTCGGTTTCCTCCTCTTCCTATGGACCGGCGAAGGATCGCAAGACGGCAAGACAGCCGCGACCCTGTGGCGGTGGATCATGCTGAACCAACACATTACTCAGGCCATCACCCTGTCAACAGTTCTACTGCGTATCGCAGTCACAGCACAGGCGTCCATCTACACAAGTCTGCTTGCGGGCGTGGTTCTAGAGAAGCACGGTGTCGCTCTCTTTCGAGTTGCTGAGATGTCTATCATCCGGTGTACAAACGACGGGCCTTTCCAATTGACTTGGTTGCTCATGACGTCTGCACGAAAAGCATACTTGCAGACCGGGTTAGCAATCCTACTATTGCTCACGACGTTTGTTGTTCAGTTCTCGTCGACTCTTCTGGTATCTGATCTGGGGTTGGATAATCTTGTCGGCGCTGCCAAAGCAAAGACATTCGATGTGCATATGAGCCACGATGTCATCTCCCTGAATCGACAGATGAACAACTGGATCAGTCGTCCGACAGCATATGTGCCATTCGGCGAGTTGCCATCAGAGGCAAACACATATACAGATAATCAGTCGAGGTTCAGCGATACCGGGATTGTAAGAAGAACCTTTTTGCCCCTCTCATCATCGCAAATGTCGACGCTGCGTCAATACACCGGCGGTGCTTACGGCTTCGAGTCGCGCTTTGTATGTCTCCGTCCATCGGTGTCCGCCTTCCTCTCGGTGACTGTTCCAGCACCAGGTTCAGATACTGTCCCTTTCTACCTAAAGGTCGCGGGCACTTTATCATACGAGACCATGTTCCGCGAGGCGGGACTATCACCACCAGAAAACTGTGAAAACGGGGATTGTTTTCCGTCAGGTTTCAACTGCTCGCTATCTCAGTTTCAATACACTGAAACGCAAGCACGGCAGGGCTTCACGAACAGCTTGTGCATTCCCAATGGCACAGCCGCGCGGCCGAGCGCTCAGAACCACACCATCTCAGAAGACCCCATCACCGCGTACTCCCAGGTCTTTCTATTTTTCAGAAATAACGGTACCCATGATCTGTGGAAAGGACCAGGCAATCGTGTCCTGGCGGGGACATTCGGTCTGACAAATGTTACTTCTACTGATGATGAATGGCTCACATACAATCGTCTCATTGGGGGAAGGCTTCAAGGAGGGGAAAGAATCGAGACGGGCGTGTTGCGGCTGGACATGTCGCTCTCCTTCCAGCAGTTAGCCTTCAACTTTGCGGAAGTCAAGCTTTCCAGCAAGAAGGACCTGAAAGAGTCGCAAGTAACTTGGACTCCAGAGACGAAGGCTTGGAACACAAAGAGAATTCAGAAACTCATGGGTGTTGGAGCCCACAGCAAAAGCACCAACAGTCGCGGGATCTTTTCGGTGGACTCGGTGCAAAACCCCCACCACCTAAACGCAACGCAATACCTAACCAACAAGCTCATCAACGACTTATACAACTCGCCGCGAACATTCAATTTTTCCCTCTTCATGGATCCCCAAGGCAGCGGGAACTCTCCCATCAAGCCGCACGTTGAGTACCAGGCCATCTTCGCCGACATCCTTAACGTCACCAGTCGTCCCGGCGTAGCGATGCAGTCGACTCTAACGGCTCTCTCAGGCTCTATCATCAACGAAGACCTTCCGCAGTTCGACGTCCAGGGCAACGCCATCTTGACTTCTTCGGTGCGCGTGATGACGCCAAGAAGCCTTCGGGGTCTGCTCATCATCTTTGGCGTCATGGCTCTGAACATGGCGTGTGGTCTTGCCGTGGTACTTATTTTCATGGTACAGAGTCAGTACTCTAGTCAAGGGAACTATTGGCAGAGCGTGGCGCAGATTGTGTCTGATGAGACGGCGTGGATTCTAGAGGGGGCGACGGAAGCGAGCGACGGTCATGTCGAGAATGAGGTAAGAGGCTCAAATAACCTCGTCTGTGTTAGTCGTTCAGAGAGGAGTGGACGGGTGCGCGTGGGTCCAGTTAAAGCTGGTTAGGATACATCAATAATATCGAGAGTCGCTTCCAGCATACATGTGTGAAATGACCTTCTATTTATCCGAGAGAAAGGGGCTATCAGTCACCACGTTGCTAGTGGTACACTGAGTTGCGACCTGACTCTAGATCTTGCCTACAACCTTGCTGTCCTTGCGGCCTACTGCCATTGACTCAGCTGGCGCATTGCAGGTTCGCTTTCGGTTGATCGTACTGGCAATATACACATTTAGCATTAAGCGCGATGAATCACGGACACACCTGACAGTTCATGTAGATCAGGCACAAGTAGATATAGGGCCAAGCTGCTGATAATATTCAGATATCTGGCCGGAGTCTCAAATACTCTTCAAATCATTTCCCATTCACCTCTTCCCCTTTTTGTACCCTCTTCGTCACGGCACAATCTTATTAGAGCCATCCCGCGTTGACCGCATTACTTCTCACTCAGCAAAAGGACTTCAGGCTTAGTAGAACCTGATCCCAGTATTGAAAGCTGTAATGAGTGCGCATCTACTCGTCATCGTTGATGTCGATGACGGTCTTCTTCCACTGGCGGGCGGGGATCTTGCGCTTGAACATGATGTCGATCTCGCGGAAGGAACGGCCCTTCATCTCAGGGACGAAGAAGAAAGCGAGGACGAAGCAGACGAAACCAGTGGCGCCCCAGACGTAACCGCACTTGCCGCCCAAGTTGACACCCTGTTGCGTGTGTGAGTAAATGTCATTCTCCTTACGAAACGTGTGTGTGTGTATGTGTGTGTATGAGAGAAAGAGAGAGAGGGGGGGGGGGGGGGGAGAACTTAGGGGGGGGTTAAGCAGGTGGGGGGGGGGGAAGAGGCGGGGATGGTTGACGACGTAGAAAGGGGCCGGGCCGGTTCCGGGGGTCAAAGGAGGAAGGGGAAGGGGGGGGGGGGGGGGGGGGGAGAGAACTTACGGTGGGGTTAAGCATGTAGGTGGCGAGGAAGATGCAGGGAATGTTGACGACGTAGTAAGCGGCACGGCCGATTCCAGTGGTCAAAGGACGAAGGCGAATGGAGGATGTCTCGGCGATGATGACCCACGAGGCGGGGGCGGGGCCAAGAGTGAAACCGACGGAGACAATGAGACCCAAAGAGGCCATCGCCAAGGAGGCGGCCGTGGACTTGCCGACGGAGCCAGCAATACCGAGGGCAATGAGGAAAATAACGTTGATGAGCGAACCCCAGACGTAGATGGTGCGGCGGCCGAGATAGGTTGTGAGAATCCAGGAAAGCATGACGAAGACGGTCTGGAGAGCGGAGGTGATGAGACCGAGGGCGAAGGCAAGCTGGGAGCCAATACCGGCCTCTGCTTGTGCGTTAGCCTCATTGAACTTGAGAAGGAGAGAGGTTATGGAAACTTACGTCTGAAGAAGTAAACAGCCTGGTTGGCGATGAGATTACCAGTAAGGTTCTGGGCGGCGTAGACACCACAGACAATAAGGGTGCGGTATCTATCGGTGCCCTTGAAAAGCTCAATGTAGCTGGGATCCTTGACGTCCTTCTCAAGCTCAATGGTACGACGCATCATGGCGACGGACTCCTCAATGTTGGCAACGGCAGATGAACGACCAAGACGACGGACCGAGACAGCAGCCTCCTCGAGACGTCCCTTACGAACCAACCACCAAGGAGACTCGGGAGCGAGGAACAGAAGGATGGCAAGGGGCGTGGGGAACATCCACTGGAGGGCAATCGGGACTCTGTACGCGCTGGGGTCTCTCTTGCTCTCGTAGACATAGCAGACACCACCGACGATGATGGCACCAATAGCCCAGAACATCTGAAGCATCTGTGTGGCGGGAGCTCTCAGGCGCATGGGCACGATCTCAGAGCAGTATGCGGGCGCGTTGGCGATGAAGATACCCCAGGGAATACCCTCGAGAAGTTGGCTGACGAACATGACGGCGAGCGAGTTGGCGAAGTAGAAGACGAAGATGAAGGCGTTGAGGAGCATGAGGCCAGAGATGGTAGCCCAGCGGTATCCGATGCGACTGGTGATGGGACCGGCGATGCAGACACCGATGATGGCGCCAAGAGGACCACCCATCTGAAGGGCGGATTGCCATGACGCCTCGATCGCCTTGCCCTCGTCCGTGTCGACACCATATGCGTCCTTGAACTCGTCCATGGCGACGAAAGCACCCATCAGGAAGACGCAGTAGGACTCCATAATCTGGGAAACCAATGTGATTAGTTGCCAGTCGCCTCGTATGCGTGGAATATGCCAAGGTAGTTAGAGCGACTTACAATTGTGGTAGACATGATGAAAGCCCAGAGGGAGGCCATGGGGTAGGCCTTGACGGCCTCCAAGACTCCCATGTTGTGCTCGGCCTGCTCAGCCTCGATGGCATCGGCCTTGTAGGAGGAGGGCAACGCCTTCTCGTCGAGGTCGGCGACATGGTCAATGTCACCGTAGGCCTCGACCTTTGCCGGGTCGGACTTGGAGTCGAGTGTGGTGCTCATGTTTGCAGACTCTCTTTGGAAACCTCACCGAGAATTTGGAGTTGGAGGTTGTTTGGCCGGGTTGCTTGGTGAGGAGGAGGAGGAGGGGGACGGGGGAACGCGAGCAAGCAAGAACAGAGAAGAGACGAAAGCCAAGAGAGAGAGGGTGGTACTGGGCAGGCTGTTTAATAAAGGTCTTGTCTTACTCCCCAGTTCTCGTTTTCTTACATGTCCAATGGAACATTGTCTTAAGAGTTAACCCCAGTCGGGTGTCATTACGCTAGCGCAACTTGAACCAACGCGAACGTATGAAAAAAGGTGGACGGGGATCTGAATCCCACAAGGAATCCTCACAAGCGCAATCTGGGCATATTGGGGTTCCCCAAACGTCCTCAACCCCGCCCCCCGCATTGGTCCATAGACCCGTTCCCACATGAGCCTGGGGAATGGGGAAGAAGGGCGGGTGACACTCTGGGGGGATCGAATATCGGCTGATGATGAACCGAGCCCGGTCAGATATTCTCCTATGCGCCGACGCGCTCCAATGGGGGTGGGAGGTTGCTCAAGGTTTTTGGAGAAACGGCGCAGTTGGACCAGTTAGGGACACTAGTCAGGGTCCGGCAAACTTATCCCATCGGCCCTTTCACCAACGGGGGCCTTGTCACAAACTCGGGGCTCTTTTCGCTCTTGGGGTTAGTTTCCTGACTTCCCCAGTACGCCGCGTTGCTTAACTTGCTTGGCTGCTTGGATGGACGCGGCTCCTTAGCTCTCCCATGTGACCGCGGCGGCCACTTACTGAAACGGCGAGTTGTTAAACTAAGTAGTTTCTCGACGTCTTCCACCCTCCATCATCGGCTCTCATTAGGGCGCGTCGTAGCACACCCGTTGGACCGCCGAGATGGGGAAAGGCGTAGCCGCCTGTAGGAACGCCGCCGCATCGCGTCGCGAAATACGGGTTCAGCCGCCCCCCTCTTCGGTATCTCGGTCAACACTGGGCCGCTTCCCACCGAGCATTCAAGCTGTTTTGTAGCCGCTGCAGATGCAAATGGACAACGAACCGCAGACCCAGTTCTCTCTCTTCAATATTCCCCAGTGACTTCCCTTCGCTTCTACAGCTGAATGTGTCAACGTGGTCTCAAACCATGGTCCATGTCAGCAACCAAGCGCTAGTTCTCCGCGAAATTAGCGTCCAATGCAGTCAAAATGCACACCCGTTCCACCCAGCTGCGAGATCCGTCTCCACGGGTCCGGGGCAAAGACAAAGACCCAATAGCTTAATCAGGTTTTTTCAAAAGACACGAGGCGGACGAACCAGCCTGACATTTAGAAGCCGCCCGGACTTCGAGCTGAGGCGCCTTGCGCGCTCGAGGTTCCCGGGAAATCGGCAAGGGTTACTTCATCTAGGTGTCAACCGAGCCAATGATGGCCAAGGTGTCACCCAACTTGGTGATATTACCAATTTTCCAACCGTCAAGGGGCCAATGGAAATCCAAGTAGAGAGGCTGGAACGCGTTTGCGGACATCGCCTTACGGACAATCGTGCCCTTTCGGGCGATACCAACAACGTGGCACCGGGGATGATCACGGCGTCGATGAATGTCATGCCATGGTCGCGCTAAACCACGGTGATTTCAGCTTCATGTTGATAAACTTCTTGTTGGGAACTCTACAAAGGTCTGGAATTGGCTCGGTTGCAGGACGCGCCCGTTCACAGACAGCCGCGATAATTTGGCTGGACGGCTCCTAGAAAATGAGTCGAGGATGGCTCGACCCAACACTTTGGTTCGCGCTGATCATCAAAACGATTGGAATCTCTTGCACTTGTGTCGAAATAGCCGCCACTATTAGATCTAGGTTGGGAAAGATGTACTGTGTACGGGCTCGAGAACGATGTCTGAAGACATTGATTCTGACAAGAGTATTAGGGTGAGCAATGTGGGGAACTACCAGCTTTCGATGCGGGATCCCAGCCGATCATGATGGAGTTCAAGGCTTTGAAGCACAGTGAAATCACGTGCAGTTGTTACGCGTATGTTTGATCTTGCATTTGCCCGAAAAAGAAGATGGCTATTCACATACACCTGGATAGTCCCGTGACGAGGTTTTTCCTGCAATCTGTGTAACAGCGCTCTACCCCTCTTCTAGTTCACGACAGCATATGTCAGACAGATATTACATGCCCTCTTGATTGGCATATTTTTCTCCGTGAGGTGTCATGTGAGATGCCGAGATCCGCATTGCTGGTCACGGTGCACCAATTGTCCTGCAGGACGGCATACTTCGTGCAGAGACCACGTTGTCAGTCTTTCACCGGGGTATTCCAAAGAGCCAATGTATCCGTACGTTAGCTCACATCAACTTTAGGTTTGGACGTCGCGTAAACTAAACGATGCTGTGACTGGTGGGGTTGGATCGTGGGGATACACGCTACCTAGGTTAGACATATTCCAGATATGGGGTTGACCCGATGAAAAAGATTTTGTTGATATTTCGGCTGCCTCCACGATACCGAAAAGACATCGGTTCCCCGGGTCTGGGACCGTCTGGCCAATTTTGTTGTTCTCCAGTCTTCGCGCTAACGTAAGTATCTTTGAGTTCCTTGGGCCCGCAAGAAATTATCACTGCCAGGGTTCTTAGCGTCGATATATCCACAACCCACAGCCCACAACTCAAAACATCGTGAACCTGTGAAGCGAGTTCGGCTCGTGATCATGTCCACACTAGCACGTGCACTCTTCTACCTGCAATCTTAACAATTGCGGTGCCGGAAACCGAGCATCCACTTCCAGGTTCTCGGGTCTCCGAGGATCTGCATTACGGAAGGGTGGCCGAGTTGGTTATGGCGCCAGGTTAAGGTCAGCTTAACATCTGTTTCCTGGTGGGGCAACCCGCGCGAGTTCGAGTCTCGTCCCTTTCATTTTGATGTTCATGTACGTGGGCAGCTTTTTTGGTTGCATGAGACCTGTCGATAGCTCACTGACCGATGTGGCCGAGGCGCCTCGTAGGTGGTCTAGAACCTTTTAGGATTGCTGTGAACACGGATGATGAATTCGATCGACGGTGTGGGTATTTGTAATTCCATGTTCTTCCAATGCTAGGGAACCAGTGTTGCCCCATTCTCCATGCGAATCTAGATTCAAGATAACCCTCAGTGTAGAAGCGAGCTTCCTGTTCACTTAGAACCCGACTCCACGGGCTTCTGTCCAACCCGAGAATAATACGTGCCAGACGCATGCACATTCAGATCCTTGATCGCATTCCGAACTGACGCGAGGAATACCTCGATCTCCGTCCGTTCCATTCCCAGAGCCGCCAAAGGTTTGCTCGCAGCGGCGCCCAGAAAATCCTCCGTCACAGTGCGCATGTAATGTCCAACCAGACGCTTGATCTTGTCGAGAGGCCATCTTCCAACCGGCACTTTGTATGATCTCACTTGAACGTTGACGAAGCCGGCGTCTTTCATAACCGCACCGATGCGCGGAGCGACTTGGATGTCAATCTTCATTTTGTGCATGGCGTCGCGGATTTTGGACCAGAATTCCAACAAGGGCCAGTTTTCGGGCATGGTTCCGTCATCGCTCTTCACATTGGCGCCGAAGTCTTGGGTTTCGACGTAAGCTCCAGCCTTGAGATTTCAGAAAGTATGTTTCATGAGCACGATGTTGCACTGGATTTGATACCCCATTATCGAGGGTGGAAGCACAACTTGGAACTTACTCGAAGACTCACTCCAAGAGTTTTGGGAGATCATGCACAAGAGATGCGAAGTTTCGCATATATATGAGATCGAAATCATTTACAGGCTAAGGAATATCGCTCATTGTCAGCGACAACACCCTCCAGTTTAGAGATCTCATTTCGCCAGGCATTAGAGCACTTACCAGCCAGTCATCTTCAACATCATCGACGAAGAAGCGAACGTTGGAAGGCACCCTGTACGCTAAATCAGGATATTATGGCCATAAGAGGACTCAGTGGGCGTACCAGCCTGGCTGAATCGGCGATAAGTCTACGCCAGTAACCTCGGCGGAAGGGTAGTGACCCCCAACTGGTGATTGTCAATCTTCATGCTTTATTGATCATTGTCTTCAGGATGAGTGTTATCTACCTTCCATTGCCCATATGCCTGTAAAGTCGTTCAGAATTTCTGTGCGATATCTACGGATGCCGCCTTCAAGTCCGCCCAAGGTCTGAGATAAAACTTACTGGTGTCCGTGCCGAGATCAATAATCTTGCTGGGCGAGTCGCCTATAGGAGCATGGAACAGCTTGCCATCAGTGAGCTCCATGACCATCGCATGCTTCGTTTCTTCGCGGTTTTTTTTCAATATCATCGTTTGGAATTGGATATTTTCCATCCCGAAATGAGTGATAGCTTTGTTTGTCCAAGCTGATAAGCCTTTGATCAAATCATCTATTGAACCCAAGTTCCATGGGTACGCATTCAAAACTTACCGTCGGCCATTTTCATATGAATGTTTCTAAGACCGACGAGGTGATGGAAGTCGAACCCGATGAGGAAGCGTCCCACTCGCTAGGCTGGAACTCATCGTCGCTCGCATCGCCACCAGCTTCAATAATATCTGGTGCTTGCTCTGGAGATTGCGCCGGATGCCCGTCTTGTAGCGCCTGTTCTGGACTGGCGCTCATTGGAGTGGTACTGTCGTGTTACTTGGGTTTGCATGCAGTTGTCGTCGACTGAGAGTCCTAGACTAGACTAATTATGCGGTCTTTGCCGTCATCGTACGCCTACTGACAACCAAGCGGGGAAAGCGTGAGATCTCGGTTCTCCGGCAAGAAGTGGCGTAACTAGGCCCAAATGGTGGCTTGAGGAGCGGGCGTTGCAGTAGCTCCAGGCTTGGAGATATACCGCTCCATGGTTGGTACGCCTGGATCTAGTTCGAGGGCAAATGTCTTATTGCTGGAATGGCCCGCATTGGTAGCTCTTCTCACTGAAGAGTCCCTGGAGATCCGCCCGGGCGAATGCGTGAGCGTAGTGTTTTGCCCCTTTGGAGGAGCCGAGAGAAACTTACCGTCATCTAGCAATTCATGCTTCAGAAGGATGGAGATACATGGTGTCTCTCTTTTCGAAGTTCTGATAAGTTTTAGACATTGCTATTTCTCCTTCTAGAAATCTGCGCCCGTCTCTCTCCGTTGAAGATTTCGACTTGGTCATTTTTCTTTTTTTTTTATCTCATTCAAGTCGCCTCGTTCTACATCCCTCACACTGCGTTTTCTGAATTATCTTGGGGGCCGCCTTGGTAAACCCTACTCCGGCCCCGGCCCGGTGTTGGGGCCATTCCATCGCGTCCGGCTCTCAGCCTTCTCCGGCGAGAAAGTCCGCGTGCCCACAGCATCATTACCGTAACGCTCTGTTTTACGAAGTAAGCTACTTATCGATAATTGAGCGAGTCTATCTCGCAATCATATTTCTCAGCTTATATGTGACTGTTGGCAGGTCAACGCATAATACCAACGCCAAAGACCTTGTTTTCAAGCGAGTCCTGCCCCTTCAGTCTGCCGTGGCTTGGCTGCATTAGTCAGTATGATTCTGCACAGAATCGCATGCTGAACGGGTGCTCCCGATATGCCTGTCGTGTATTCCAGACCTTGGCCAAGATGATCCGAGTCATCCAATGGGAGAAACCAGGCTGCCAGAAGGAGCGCGCCCAGCATCGCCAAGACACAGTCGGTACCTGCCGATTCACGACCCTCCATCTCCGTCGTCGATAGTTGCTCACGACTCGGTCAGAAACAATAAAGTTGAATCGCCAAATTGGCTTCAGCCATAACGACATCCGTCTGCGGGCTTGATGCAGTCTACCTCAGTTAGAGGTCTTTACGTTGACACCATGCGGATCCATATGCAACTATGACAAGAGCCTTCGCGCCTTACACATCTCTAAGGAAGGCTATTGAGAGTCTAACAATGAGTACTCAGCCGGAGGTTGCCCATCGCAAAAATACCAAGACGATTCTGTTGATGGATTAATTGTCCTGAACAATTTCCGTCCACAGGCGACCTGTCAAAGGAGAGTTGATTAGGTCGCTTCGTCTTGTTATGCTGCTTTCCACCCCTGAAATAATTACACCGAGCATCTCTCAGCGACCAAGGTTAGACCGTTAGCTGCCCGTTATTGACATGGTTGCGATGGAAGCGAATACGGCAGACGTTCGCCTCTTGCAAATTGACCGCAACATCCAAACATGCCCGGAATTCTCCAGAATCAAACAATGATGAGACACATATGCCAATCTGGAAATGGATCCAAAAATACGTCTGTCACCCATCCCCGCAGCGCTTAAACTTGAGTGGGTGACATTGGGAGACTGGGGGCGATGAAGCGGTTTCAGGCCCAATGGGCCCAGCAGCGCTGACGACGGTCAGTGTCTAGCGTATTTACTTTGTTTTTCTTAGCGGGCATTGGGGGATCTGTTGTAAAGGTTAGTCTGCAGCGAACCCTCGCGAAGAGCTGGTGCGTACGATCTCAGCGCCCAACATTAAGATACAAAGTGAGAACAGTTAAGCAGGCAACTTAGTCCTTCAACTATTGAGTATGACCGAAAACCTTCGGTAGAGTTCGTTTCCGTCCAATCAATGGAATCAGACTCCATGCAATGACCACAGGCCGCTTGACTTGTGAGCTGAGAGTCATGCCAGTGACACTTGACATACCATCATTCCCGACGTCAAAAGAAGTTTTGCGACACGGGCGAAGAGATGGGATGAGTTCGAGATCCGATGGGTAGAGCCTCGGATGAAGACGAGTCCACCAGGGACCCAATCGAACTCCAAGACCCTTTTTTTGGTCGCGGTGTTTGGGATCACCAGGGGATCATCCAGCAGAATCTTAGCCTGGTTGATGAGCGTCAAGACCCATATTCAACTTCCCCCAAACCTCATGCTCAACGTTCGCCTTCAAACGGTCTGTCTCGGTTGGGAGAGTAAGTTGTCAAAGGAGGACCGCGACAGAAGTGGGCACGGCCAAAGCTGCTGCCGTTCGAAAATTGGCCTCCAACGTCTGAAAAATAAGCTTGGCGGTAAGATACAGGGGGTCGTGAAACTCTCCTTGGGGATGGTGGTGGGGTCAAATTCCTCGGAGCTTTGCCGCCGTCATGGGCACAATCTCTATTCTTTGTGAGCTACCGCAGAGTCCGATGAAGAGGCGACATGGAAAGATCCAGGACCCTGGCTCACATGTTCAGATGCTTACCGTATGGTCTTGAAGTTCGGTAGACAGCTCCGGCTTGGTTGGGGTGACGAACAGCTGCATCGCTCCAGACCCATCTTTCAAGCCCCCCAACCCTGTGCCCACTTGCGTCGATGATACTGATCCTCGCCTCCTTCACCAATTCCAATCCGCCCCCCTCAACATCCTCATAGAGCCTCACGACTCACGAGGCTCAAAGTTGTAACGAGAGGCGTCCATTCAGGGGCTTCCCTGTCGCCTCTCACCAGATCTGGCCGTAATGTGGCTTCCCGATCAGGCCTAGGAGATGCAGCCGCAACATCTTGGCAGCTTCATCGCACCCATGCGTCACGAACTTCAGACCTCCTTCAACGCGGAGTCGCCATCGCTTCCACAATCCATCATATCCATCACTGCGGAAAATCACCAAGAATCTTCGTAACGTTGACGTCTCAACCCGCCCCGTCTCGAACGCCCCATGTCATTCCATGTTGGCCTCCGCATGCAACCTACTTTGGGCCCTGGTCTGAAGTTCTTTGCAACTACGACAGCTGGGCACTCGAGCCCAGGGGCCATGTCTAGAGCACATATCACGAGAACGACGACAAGGGAGAGAAGAGGATGGCGTAATATGGAGACACAAACATGCCAATGCATTGATCCAATATCACCCATATCCTAATGTGAACGGACTGACAGATCGTCTGAAATATTCTATAAAGATCAGCTCGATCTTCCTCTTAGTGCCGCTTCTTCTTTCCTCTTCTCATCACGCTCACAATCATTACAACCTTGCCTGTTCTTTCTTCTCTTCTAAAACAGCTGTGCTGTCTTCTATCTCTTTCAACGCATCTTGATCACTCATTTCAATCCATCCGGGTCCGTGTCCCTCTTTTCGTCTTCCACAACATCGACTTCTTGCTTTAAGAACAATCTTTCGACTTTCAATATGAAGTTCTCTTCCGTCATCACTATCGGCTTCGCTGCCTTCGCTACCGCCGCTCCTCTCGGCGCTCGCCAGGCCACCGTCTTCTCCACTCAGACCTTCAATGACCTCTCCATCAGCGGCGGCACTGCCGGTACCGCCAAGCAGGAGGCTCTCGACAAGCTCTCCGGTCTCCCCACCGACCTCAGCACCGTCGCCAAGGCCGATCTGGACTTCCTCAACAGCGTCAACTCCATTGCCAACGACGCCGAGAAGGAGGCCTTCAACCCCGCCATTGAGGCTGCCACCGGCGAGGAGGCCGACGCCCTCCAGCGCGGCAAGATCAAGAACAAGGTCCTCAAGCTTACCGCCACCATGCTCAAGCTGCAGGCTCAGGCGGCCCAGGGCGAGGACGTTGCCGATAAGATGGCCGCCGAGCAGAAGAAGCTCGACAACAACATTGCCCAGGACGAGGCCGAGGCTGGCAACGCATCTACCGCCCTCGACTTCAACGCTTCCACCGCATAATTGCCTTTAATCAGCGATAGAGGCTGTGGGTGTAATATCCCATGAGACTTTGAGGAGAATTGGGGAAGAAGGAGAAAGTCGCGATGATCATGAAAGATCCACGAGACGAATAGGGGCTGTGTGCCGACTCGGATGATCCGATCAAGTGCTGGCCATTTCTAATTATTGGGGATGTATCGGTACGTTTTAGTACACTCTAATAATATAAAAGAGATTAGAAAAACATTTGAACCACGTTTCGTTCGCTGTGAGATCGATCTTGATGTCTGGCCACATACAGCTGTTTTGCTACAGACTACCTTACAGAATACAGCTTACAGGCCATTGCGAAGGAAGAGCAAGTGACTTCACTGGGTCATACAGACCGCCAAGCCGCGATCAGCATTCTGTGACGGATGTTGCACGGATACATGTCCTCCCGCAGTGCCTCCCCAATGTCGTCGAATCAGCATCACGACCAAAATGGGATCACTGAGACGCCTCTCTCAAAGCTTAGATGGCTTGGCGAAGGGCTCCAATTCTACATTCAAGACGGTTGTGAGGCGTGAAAAGGTGTAGTAGAAACCCTGACTGCGTTAGCACTCAGACTTAGGGACTTCTACAGGGAAACTGACCTGCAGAGTAATCATTTCCACGACTTCTCGGTCAGAAAACTCAGTCTTGGCTTTCGTCCATAGCTCATCCGCAACCTCTGGCCCGTCAATAACGGCCTCGATAAACAATAGGAGGGCTTTTTCCTTTGACGTGAACAATTCTGCAAGAGCTTCTAGTTTCCCTTGAGAAGAGAAGTATCCCTTCTGTCTTCCAGCCTGAGCAATCACTTCGCGCTGGGCGTCAGTGACACCCTCCTTGGCGGAGACTGTGCTGTGATGCGTCCACTCGTAGGTGGACCGGAACTTTGCTGTACTGAGAAGAATGACTAACTCCCGGTTCTTGGAGGATAACTCAAGATCTTTGAAGTGAGCGCCTGCGATTTTTGACCAATGGTTGACAGTGGCTGGGCTATGTGCGAGAAGCTTGGAGATGTTGAGGGGAGTTCCGTTGACATCGGGGTACGGAAGGCGTGCCATGTTCACGGTAAAGTTTTGCAATTGGAATAATGCCAGCGTAGAAATGTAAAACCAGTCAATTACAGCCCTCTCATGAACTTGAGTTGAACTGTTCTTGTAGTCTTGGGCTTGGGATAAGATGCGGGGTGCCTCGGCTGCCCCTATTAACGGTTAGTCATCCCCGGCCGTGAGTTTGTACCTCGGCTCCGTGTGGGGCCGACGGAGGCAGCACCGCAGCGGACTTGGAACGGACCATCGGGTATATTAGCTGCCCGTACACTCTTCCAGTCATTATGAGAGCATCTGAGTAGTTTCTGAGTATCTTTATTCTTTCCGTAAACCGGATCATACATCTTCCGCTTGCTTAGCTGTCCATCGTGCTTTCAAAACCTGTACAGACCCCTTTGGCTTTCTGTCCCGTGTGAAAACGCCCTTCTTGTTTCCATCCACCCGAGTGATACTCGATGTCGTCTGGAAATCCGCAAAGTTCCAAACGTGCTCTCCAACAACGGTCTCAACACGATCAAATACTCGGTGGAACATTTCGAGAAACTTGCCTTGGTACTCCTCGCTCCAGGGGACGTCACATACGGCGTGTAGCCCCGCCACAGCTTCGGCGCCGTACTCTGTCATGATCATGGGCTTACCATACTTGGCCTGCCATCCAAGCAGGTCCTTCTCCAATACCTGCTCCGCCTCTTCTAGATCGCCTGTCTGAGAGTACCATCCGTAGTAGCGGTTCAGGCAGATGACGTCGAACAAGTCTGTCACGAGGTCCTTCTCGAACGTAGCGAACCCCATGTTCGCGAAGCAGACCGGTCTCGTCGGGTCCAGCTCGCGCGTCAATGAGACTAGCGGCTCGAGATACTCCCTTGCACCGGGCTCCGCCGACGCAGGCTCGTTGGTAACTGTCCACATCACCACCGACGGATGGTTCTTGTCTCGCGCCACAAGCTCTCTGATAGCCTGGTCATGCGCCGCCTGCGTCTTCTCGTTGCACGCATCGGGGGCAAAAGTGGGAGGCGCCTTGAGTCCAAAGACGCCAGCAATGATGCCGAGGTTGATACCCACCGCCGGAGTCTCGTTGATGACGACGATTCCGTGTCGGTCGGCGTAGTCGAGGACCTCTTCGGCGTAGGGGTAGTGAGCTGTCCGGAACGAGTTGGCTCCCATCCAGCGCATGAGATGGAAATCGTGAATCATGTAGGCCGGATCGAAGCCCTTGCCGCGGATTGGCGAGTCTTCATGCTTGCCGAAGCCGGTGAAGTAAAAGGGCTTGCCGTTGATGAGGAACTGATTTCCCTTGACCGAGATTGTGCGGATGCCGAAGGGAAGTTCGTAGGTATCGAGAACCTCATCTTTGTCGGAGTCTGATAGTATCTCCACACGGAGTTGGTACAGATACGCCGCGCCGGGTTGCCACAGATGCGCCGAGTTGATCGTCAGCTCATCTTTTGTCCCATTTGCCTGAGCCACGGTCAACCCCTCCTCGTCAAGAACAGAGATCTTGACTTTGTCATCCTCCACCGGATGCGAAGTCTCAACCTTGTATTGAACTTTGCCTGCTCTCGACTCAAAGATGTCCGTTACGACGGTGATGTCGATGATGGATACCGCCGGCTTCGAACACAAATACACCGACCGTGCTAGCCCGGAATAGTTGAAGAAATCATGCTGATAGTTCTGCTTCCGCTTGCCGTTGGCAAGGGTCTGGATTTTGCCGGGAGGAATCGTCTCCCAGCTCAGCTCGTTACTCACGGCCACAGTCAAGCGGAATCTCTCACCGGGTTTGATGATGCTAGTGATGTCTGCTTCGAAAGGGGTGTATCCGCCAACATGGTCGGCGACTAGCTTGTCATTTACGTAGACACGGCCGCGATGGGTTGCTGCGTCAAATCGCAAGAAATATCTCTGATTCTCAGGCGACCAGCCGCGAGGTACTGTGACTTGACGCTGATAGTACACCCATCCAACGTGACTGCGAATCTTTTCATCTGCAAAGATGTCGTTGTAGCTGGCGGGTACGGGCACTTGAAGCTTTGGCGAGATGAGCTTAGACCATGGTGCGTCTGCTTCAATGTCGGGTGATGATGCAATTGCAAAGTTCCAGATGCCGTCCAAAGAAACGACATCTCTGGTTGAATTGGCCTGTGGTTTGAGCATCTTTCTTATTGATGATGTTACTTGGCTTTTTGGGTCATGAATAGAATGTTGGGTGAATGCTATCATAAGTAAGCCGAGAGCCAGGCGTAATGCGGCGTCGTCTTTCGGCTTTTCCGAAGTGTCGGCGGTTGAGATTGCCGGAAGCCGACCGATGCCTCCAACAACCACTTATGCGCACGTTCGATACTCCGCAGATTCCGTAAAATGCGTAAGTTGCTCTGGGGATCAAGCTCTCATGGAAGAGGATTTATGCCAGCCATCTTCGTGTTGCAGTTCGCCAATTCAAGGTTGTGTACTATTTCACTCCGTTCGGTAGTAGCCTTCAGTAACCGACCGTTTCCCCTCAATGTTGTATCATTCGGCAAGCCACACGTCAGCTCAAGGGTGAGTTCGGACATACACACCCAAGTTGCTACCACAAGAACTAGCAAGGTCCTGTCCAGGCATTGTTGATGGGCATTGTTGGAATGCCATCGTCTTGACTTGCGGGGTCCCCGGGAGTGTGGGGGACAGGCCTTGGCGGCCTAAAGCTACCAGGGGACATGCGGGGACCATTTAGGGCACTGAGATGCAGTCGGGGATTCCGTGTTCCTTGAGTAGACTGTCGTAGCTTCTACATAGAACCACCTTGATTGAGACTTGTTCAATCCATATATAACCGCAAGGACGTTAGGCTCTGATTTTCGCAGTTCTGTAAAGCCGATTGAGCTGAGAAAGCAGTATATGTACATTTAGTTTCGGCGCGGAATTGAGGGTGTTGGTCTTGCTGGGAGTCTCCGACATGGTGTCCAAACACACCTCAATATGTTGAGAAACCGACTTTGACATTCAACTCAAACTTCAGGAACTCGTGTCAGATGTTTCCTTATACCCCACCCTGAACGCACAAGTAAGGTAGAGAAGAAGGGTCCTATGAGAGTCAACAGTGAGAGCTCTTGAGCTGTTCAAGTTTGCGGCGTAAACTGCTTGGCTCGTGCCGGACTGTTGAAGTAGCAGTCTCTCTCATCGGCTCTCCACAACACAGAACAGTGACCCCGGAGCTAGGTAGCGACAGGGAATCTGTCGCGCTTTGATTGTCCTTCTGTATATGGTCAAAAGGTTATCAAAATTTTGCAAAGTTACCGCCAAAAAGAAGACCATACTCTCTAGAAGAAGAGCAAACATGACAACTGACATAGTATCTGATATCTTATCGTCCGAACCAACTCCGCATGACCAACAACTTGCCATCCCCGTCCATCCCAGACGTCAAGTGTTACTGCTCTTTAAGCATGCTGAAATGAACTCAAGTTTCGAGACCATCAACTACTCCAATTCCCATCCAATTCCCAACCATCGAATGGTTCCCTACTCTACTTTTCATGAAACGCCAATGCTCGTAGCCCTCGTGCCCTAGTCGCCAGACACGAAACTGGCCCACTTCAACGGTCCAAACCCACCAAACACCTACCAAAATAGCAAGTGACTTTGATAGTGCTGCTCTTTCGCAGCTGACGTCAACAAGATCCTTTCAGCTCATTTCGAGCTTATCCCCGATGGCACAATTGGCTAGCGCGTCAGACTGTTAATCTGGAGGTTGGTGGTTCGAGCCCACCTCGGGGAGTTGCAGTGGTTAAAATCCACCAAGGACTTCGCTTTTATATTTTTTTGGTTGTGGCTGATGACATTTCTGTGTTTTCTCGACTCTTTTGTCTCTCGCAAGCAGCTGTGCCGCATCTCGAGCATCTGTGCAGATTAAAGTTGAAAACTTGAGACAACTCCTGGAATCCCAGTCGTACTTAATCATCGATCATATCTCACCTGGTTTTTGATTGACCGCTACTTTGCTTTTTCTTGTTCGTCAATTCATTGATACGTAGTACACAGACGATCTAAGACATCCATCTAGTGGAGCAGCTGGCATCGCTAAAGCTTTCGACTCGATGAGTCGACATGGGGCCGCAAATGTCTCTCGCTTCACAGCCCCCAGGAGGTAGAAATTTCAATGTGAATCGCTTGGGTTTACTCAAGCATCCATGCCAGGCCATCACCCACTTTGGTCCAACTAAACAATGCCAAAGAATGCTGCGAGCTGCTTTCTTCCCAGCATTTCAGCCTCATGTCTGTAAGTAGCCATAGGCACGACGCCTCTCGAACGATCTGTGTTCAGACAAAGACTTGTCACTTGCTGCTAGCCCTGACAACCCGAATTGTAAAAGGAACGTGGGCACGCCACAGCACGCTAAGACCACGCCTAAGATCCCGAGGCAGAGGCTCACGCTCAGCATGCTTTCTAGCCCTGAGCCCCGTCAACTGGAGAAGAGAAGAGCTTGTGTCAGACTATCAGTGGAAGCCCTACAGGGGACCGCGATGATTCGTTCGGGGATCATCCTTACCTGGCATAGAATCCCCTCGACCCGTCGCCCAACCCGCCCGCGAGTCGATTGCCGTGTCGGGAAAGACGCTCGCCAGGGGCCCAACCTGATGACACTTTAATTATTTGCCCTTCTGCCATGGTGGAGTAAGCTGCCGCAATCGGTGATCCGTGGGCTATCTACGGCGGTCCAGGCACCTGGAGTTCATCGTGGAGGGGGCTTCAGAACGCACTTTGCAGTTCGGAGAACACCCACACTCCCACCAGATAACGGCCAAAATTCCATCCCGAACCCGCTATTGCTATCTTCCTTGCACGGAAGCTTTGATTCTATAAAGGTTGTCACGCCGGCTGAACCATTCAAGCTTATCCGGATGTCAAGACGGAGGGCCTACGTCATTACACCTGTTTCGCTGGGCCAGCGTTACTACAACCGTCCACCCCCATCACGATGTTAGACACCGCGCTTCCGGAGCGCACATTGGGCGACCAACGTGCTACTGTAATAGGATTATCCTTATCCACATCGAATTTTGCCATCTTTGCCGTAGCAGGTCTTGTATTGTATGTCTTATACAACTGGGCTCTACCCAAGCCGATCGCCGGAATCCCCTACAATGTCGAAGCGACGAAGCGCTTGTTGGGAGACATCCCGTCCGTCCTCGAAGGAATCAAACGCACTGGCGAGTTCAACGCTTGGGTCAACGAGCAGGCGGAGAAATTCAAATCGCCACTCTTTCAAGTCTTCGTCCGTCCCCTCGGCAAGCCGTTGTTGATCCTCTCCGACTTCCGTGAAGCCCAAGACATATTGATGCGACGAAAGGACTTTGATCGGTCGTCCCTCGATGCCGACCTCTTGGAGGGCGCGGGACGCAACCACCACATCCACCTCAAGACCGGCGACGAGTGGAAGAGGCACCGCAGGCTCCTCCAGGACCTCATGTCGCCGCAGTTCCTCAACGAAGTCGCAGCGCCGACGGTTTATGCCGGGGTCTCGAGATTGATCCAGTTGTGGAATGATAAGGCGCGCATTGCAGAGGGACGCCCGTTCTCTGCGGAGCTGGATATCTACTACGGTTCTCTGGACGCCGTCATGACGTTTACATTTGGCGGTAGCTTCCCCAGCAGCGCGTTGCGCCCGACAGCGGACCTCGTCAAGGGGCTTGGTGCGGAGGATATCAGGCGTTTACGGGGTTCAGGTCTCAGCAGCGACGAGGCGTTGGAATTTCCAACGGAAGAGTGTGACGAGAAGATTCAAGCGACGCTCGGTGTAGCGAACTCGATTGAGTACCTCCAAGGCTCACCGATCCCGAGACTCAAGTGGTGGTTCGTCGAGAGACTTCCCTCATTACGTCGCATCTTCCACGTCAAGAGAACGTATGTGCGAGAAGAGATCTATAAGGCTCTGAAGAGGCTGCAGGAGGTCGGCGATGAAGAGTCTAAGGTTCTGTCCGCTGTTGAGCTGGTAGTGCTCCGGGAAAAGAAGCTGGCAGAGAGTGAGGGAAGAGCTCCGGACTTTTTTTCCGAGATCATGGTTGATGAAGTAAGTGCCAGACGTTTCACCGGAAAACTACAGCTCGAAATTGTGCTAACATCTATGCCAGATCTTTGGCGTAGTTGTCGCAGGACACGATACAACCAGCACCACCATGTGTTGGGGTATCAAACTCCTCGCAGACAACCCTCAGAAGCAGACCGACTTGCGCGAAGCGCTCCGAGGCACCTTCCCCGATGCCGTCGCCGAGCAACGCAGTCCGACCGTCAAGGAACTCGCAGGAAACACTACGAAAGTCCCGTATCTTGATGCCGCCGTGGAAGAGATCCTCCGATGCGGCGGGGCTACCCCGCTCGTCGACCGCGAAGCAACCTGCGACACCGAGCTGCTGGGACACCACATCCCCAAGGGCACAGTAGTAATGTGTCTGAACAAGGGCCACAGCATGATGAGACCGGCATTCAACGTCGAAGAGTCAAATCGCAGCCAGAGCAGCCGGAGTGCCAAAGCCCGGGCTTGGGATGACGACGATATCGGGCAGTTCAAGCCAGAGCGTTGGCTCGTCGAGTCATCCAGTGTCCCCGGCGGGCTCGAATTTGATCAGCAGGCAGGACCCCAGCTCGCCTTTGGTCTGGGTACTCGCGGCTGCTTTGGAAGGAGGCTGGCGTACTTGGAATTGAGGATCATTTTGGCGCAGATTGTGTGGAACTTCCAGCTTCTTCCGTGCCCAAGAGAATTGTCTGGCTATGGTGCCAGGGAGGGCCTGACATACAAGCCAAAGGACTGTTACGTGCGTCTACTAGCACCTGGAAACAAATAGAAGGAGGACTCTTTATCAAAGTGATTGAAATCTTCAAGACATTTTTTTTTCTTTGCAGGCGCCTTATCAAGGAAGACGAACGACCCCAAGCTATCAAGGGGCCCTTCTCAACTTCTTGTTGCTGGAACTTCTGGCTAGTGATGTCTAGAAGACATTGAGCAACAACTTGTTAGATGGCAGGAAGATAAATCTGCTCAAGTGCATCACTTGATAAGCATATTGCAGTAAAGTAAGTACTAGTATTGAGATTCTTCTGCGAACTAGTTGTATCAGATAGCCACCTTGCCTCTTCCCCTCCCTTCTGCCCTCTTTTCCTCTCAGATAAATACTTTTTTGAAGTGATGGAGACCCCCGCGGCCTTCACCCCCCTCCTCTCTCTAAACCATCTGGTACTCAGAGTAGCCGCTCCACCGAAGCCAATGCATCAATTACCTTACCAAGGGTCACAGTTTCGTGCTCTTACATACCCAGGGTCACACATCATGCTTGATTCCCCTTTGATGGAGTTGACCGGCCTCATCAGCCGCGCTTTCGAGTGATGGGAAAGCGGCGGGATGGCGATGATGGGGGCCTACTTTCGACGGCATGTTGCCTGGCGGAAGGAGGAGAAAGAGGAGAAGGTTTGTTGTAGTTACCCTGGTCTTCATCGACGTCATCTCCGAGATCTTTCAGGGCCCTCGTCGCCTTCTTCTTTTTCTTCCGTATGTACGTGCAGAAGTAAGCAGCCACCGTAAAGACCGTGAAAATGAGCCAGACGAGGACGAAAACCCAGAAATCCCTCGCGATGGCAATCTTGCGGGTCTTCTCGTTGAAGGAAAAGTAGTTGCTTCCGAATAATGACTGCAAGTGGAGGCATGTATGAGCATACTTAATCAACCCAACTGTACGTATGTTTTGGGCCACACTTACGCCGACGAAACTGCCCGGAAGATAGATGGCAGAAATGATGGTGATGATACGTACGATGGCACTGTCGTCCACCGTGTTCTCAGTCAGGTCCTTTAGCTTGAGCGTTACATCGCCCGTGTTCTTAATGTGTGTCTTCATCTCGCGGGTGAGGAGCTGCAGCTCTTGCTGATTATGCAGCGAGAGCGTATACGATGCCTAAATGAGTCAAGGAAGAGAACGTCAGGCACTTTCTAACTTGCAGTACGCTAGGTAATCTGACAGAGGAAGAGGATACTAACTAGCTCAACCGTGTTATCCACTCTTTGACGAAGCACAGCGGAGCTGTCGATGTATCCGCGTAGCATGGTCTCCATGGACCGGAATTCGGCGGCCAGGAACTTCCCGGTAGAGATGATGCAGCCTGTGACCTCAAGATTGCTCTGGCAGCAGGCGCTGGCGAAGAGGGCGAGATCATTGGTATTTCTCAGCTCACGTACGCTCTTGAAGGTCACCCAGACGTTGTGGTCCATCTTGGCATGAGGTACCATAGCTGTATTGAGCTTCACAGGTAGACAGGTTAGAAGTGTCAGTCTCATCAGGGAAACTACCGAAACTCTTCGCTCCACGTACCACTTTAGAGAATCTGTCACCTAGATGGCGGAGGTATGCCCGCCAGTTGTCGAGGTAGCAGGATAGGATATAATGGTGCAGCATCGCCGGCTGCGAGGAAAGGTCTCGCTTGAAGACGTTGACCGTCGGAGTGCTCTTGTCGTCGAGCTCCTCTGAGCACTCCGTCTCTTCCTCCTCCTCGACGAGATCCCGGAGCGTCTCCGCCAGCTCACTAGCGGGCTGACAGTGCAGTAGTATGAAGAGGTCGAAGCCGGGCGTGTGCTGGTGGTAGACACCAACATGCCGGAAGGACCACGCGTCGGGACCGGATCGGTCGTTCCGCTCCACGAAATTGAGCTTGTAGAGTAGCGTGTCTAAAGTTACCAGGAGTTCTCAGAATGAATTTCTCTCAAGAGACAGGAAGGGAAGTTATAAAGGGTGCGGGGAAAGCCTTACATGCGTCGTCGCCCTGAGGCACAAAGCTGCTGTTGGCGCTGCCGGCCTCGGACTGGTGAGGCTCGTCGCCAAAGGACAGGAGCACTCGTAGGAACTCAGCACGCACTTTATACCTATCGAATAGTTTGCCGGCTATTGACGAGGTGATCCGGAGCGGGTTGATGGTTCTGGCCGACGATATGGAGCTAGATCACCGACGAAGATTAGCCCGAAGCCCGATGAAAGCAATTCTGGTCCAGAGGTGACAAACATTATACGTATGCCCGCGGTGGGCGCAGTGTCGAGAACGTGACTGAGGCCATCTTCTTCCTTGACGATGCTTGCGTGGAATTTGTCTATACCCTTGCTGTCAACCAATGTTTATTCCACACATGCGTCGAGGAGGGGTGATAATGAAGCATACTGTCGTTGTTGTTGTCAATATCCAGTACATCAAAGAGCGTCTCCGAGTCTTTGGAGGCAAACGCCGTCACTGCCAGATCATCCAATTGGTTGCGGAGCCCAGCGAGATTGAAGCCACTCTGCTGATGCGCAAAGTATTGATCCCAGCCGCTCATCGTGCCCGTGAAGCTTTCAAGTTCTTGAAGCGAGATCAGTCAGTCCGTGGAGGGATCCAAGAGGACTCCAGACCGTCATATGGAAACCACTCGCGATGATGCGCATGAGGCATGGAGCAGAGCAGGGCAAGGCTGGTCGATAATTTGCCCTGTGGTATGCCCGCGGCTGTGGCAGAAGCGTTTGCGGCTCGGCCCGGTTCTCACAGCCTGATCTGCCTTTTCATGCCATGCAGCCGGCAAGCTAGACGGACCGGAGTTGGGGTGGGTTGATTATTGAAGTAGTTTGCGCGGAAGAAAAAGCAGATGCGAGCAGCTTCCATTCCCCAAAGTTCAAGTTCTGACAACTTTCACCGGGAAACATTAAAACGCAAATAGGAGGATTTCTCGGTGGGAAACGGACGGAACGAGACGGGAACAGGAGAGTAGAAAGCGACTGAACCTCTTGTGTGACGATATCAGCCTCCGAAGTGTGGTAACACAGAGAGTTACACAGAGAGATAACAAGCCCCCGTGTCCCCTTTATCCGAGGGAGGGAGGAAACATGCCTGACATGCATTTCACCGTCACCCGATTACCCTTGCCCACACCCTCTTTACTTCGCCTCCCAATTTAATTCGCTCACTTCATGAGGCTGCGGTGATGGGTGCCACATTGGATACACAACGCCCGACAAGCGCTTATCTTCGGCTGGAGGTGCCGCCTCCTTTCCGCCGCTCTCTCCGCCTCCGTTCTCTCCTTGCAGCCTCCCGAGCAGCATCGCGCCGGTCAGCAATCTGAGTGACGATCTCTCTGTTTGCAACTGTTAGTATCGGCTCGGTATCGGCATCTGCCGTTGCGGCGAGACATGCCTTAGCTCGTTCTGTCCAGAATCGACACACGTCAGCCAGCATACCAACGATAGGAAGGGGGAAGCCCAAGGTATTCCTCACCTCTTGAAGTTGCTCTGGGCAGTCAAAGTACCAGCGGTCGTTCTCGTGCTGTTCGAACAGTTGGATTACTGTTTTCTCCCTAGAAGAGGTGAGCAAGATGAGGAGGAGGAACACGGACTGCGATGCAAAAGTCAATATGGTCTCCATATCTCTCCTGGAGTAGGACCAGAAGCTCGGAGCCGAGAGTGACATATCGTGATAGTCTCTGAGGTAGGACGTTGCGCACTAGGTCCATGGTCGAGCGTGGCACGGATTCACTTCGCCGACTCTGTTGCCGTGATCCATGCGATGGGAGGTAGAAGAAGGATGCTGATGGGATGGGACGGAGCAGAGGATAAAGGAGGAGCCTCATCGTGCGTACCGTGCAATCACGAAGGAGAGGCTCACTTACAATATTGGCCTTTTGTAATGGTGGAGGGATGTTGTACGACATTTGAGAGGCTGGCCGAAGACTCGAGAGGTCAGTAGACACAAGAAACAGCGCCGCGAGTCAATGTCATTGCATGGTAGGTGGTGGACCAACGTGGAGGCCGGAAGGCTGGAAGCTGATGCGCTGTTCGATGCCTCCCTCCACTTCGCCCTAGGTTGCCTCGCAAAGAGAGGAGAGCTGAGGTGGCGAGTCGGTTCAGCCCAACAGACAGTCAGCAATGTGTAGAGGCGTTCCTAGTCCATAGTTGAGTGCTAGGGAGCCTCTATATCTCCTCTCAGAGTGTCTCCAACTCACGACCTGGTTCAGACAACGTTGCGTCTCGATAACCCAGGGAAAATGGAAAACAACACAGATGCCTTACAGAAAAGGGCGCGGAGGGAACGGCAGCTCCTCCGGATGTGCGACGGACTGCCTGCAATTCAGGTCCGTCCGAAGCCCGACCTAGACTCGCCCTTCCACCGCCCCTTTTTCCTCGCTTCCAGGGTTCGCAAGCTCTGGGAACACCAGGGTAACTTAGGAGATGTCCTGTTCAACCTTGAAACGCAACAGTTGAGTTCCATCTGGAAACATTCACTCTTGTTCGTCACCTTCCTGGCCTACATCGAGGTTCCGCCCTCGTTCTACGCGCACATCTCCAACCTACTCTTCAAAGATGGTGATGACACAACACCCCGGTACCGAGACACGGAGATGCCGTATAGTGAAGCAGATCTCGAAGCACTGGGTCTATCGCGAGGTAAAACAGCTAGGTGGGAAGAGCAATACCTATTTACTCCGGCGACGATCATCCTGAACCCGCAAGCGGCGCCGGCAATACAAGTCATTCCGAACTCGCTGACGCGGATTCCGTTCATGGAATGCGACCCAGGACAGGAGCATGGCGGATACGGCGATGTGAAAGTAAGCACCTTTATGACGGGCCTTGCCTGTTTTTCCATCGGATTTAATGCACGCTAACATGTCATTTCTTGCAAAGTTCTTCAAGCTAGCGCCTGAATACGTCGTAGATGAAGATCCTAGCCCTCGAAGCTGGGTGCCGGTATGTACTTTAACTACATCCAAACTTCTCCAACCTTGTGCTTCAAACGCTTCAGATTGTACTATGAACAATCTCCATCTATGCCACTATACGGGAATCAAGGTCATCAAAACATCGTCACGTTATCACTGACATCACGAACGTACAAGGAACATCAACGACAACCTCTCGTCGTCGCCGTAAAGTCTTTCCACAACCATGACGATGGCCTCGCCGAGGCGGATAACATGCGCCTCATCCGCCAGGGTAAGGCCGGAGACCATAGCATCTCACTCTGTAACGCTGTCGTCGAACATGGGAGCAGCGGGGGCTTCTCCTCCTCGAGGCTCTTGATCTTCTTCCCTCGTGCCGAGCTCGGTGACTTAGGTCAGTTTCTACACGGCGGGCAGCACGGCGATGGTGACGCAGTAAGGTCGTACGACTTCAAAGAGCGGTTCCCGCACGCCCACGCCCATGGCTGGGGCAACTCCGAGCTCGCCCGAGCACTACTACACCAGTGCGTCAAGCTCGCTGGCGCCCTACTGTTCCTTCACTCAGGCTTTCCCGCGTCTTCGGAGAGCGGCGAAATGTGGGTGCGGTGCGCACACATGGACCTCAAGCCCAACAACATCATCATATTCGGTGGTGACGGCGCCGTGGGCCGCTGGAAGCTGTGCGATTTTGGCATTTCCGTACTCAAGAACGAGGAAAGCCAGGGCCGCGCGGCGGATGACCATCATAATTCCTATTATAGCCAGGGGACCTTTAACACCAACGCGCGGCGTGGGCGAGGCCAGTACCAGGCTCCGGAGGTGCCCGAGTTCTGGGTCCCGTACCTTGCGGAAAGCGCCCGGAGCGGCGGTACAGACACGGGCACAGGCACGGCCGCATTTGTGGGGCGTGTCGGCCGGTCCGCCGATATCTGGTCGTTCGGCTGCATCTTCGCCGAAGTTCTGGCCTTTGCCCTTGGCGGGCCGCGAAACGTCGAGGGCTTCCTCGCGGCGCGGAGGCAAGTCTTCAACAACATCCGGGACGGCAATTTTCACTCGCCAAGCAACAGCAACAGCAACAGCACCAGCACCAGTACGTCGCTGTCGAGTCACACGGTACGGCCTCAGGTGCTGCAGTGGCTTGACGAACAATGTGCCACGGCTACGTCGCCCGTCTGGGCTAACTGCTGGGCCGGTCATGTCACGCGGATCTTGCGTGTTGACCCGCGAGAGAGGCCAGACGCGCAGGCACTAGAGCGTCAAGTACACCATGTCTGGGATGACGCGCTGAAGTGCCCAAGAGAGGCGACATCCAAGTGCCAGGCTTTTCGGTATGAACCTGAAGCGCAAAACGTGTCGGAAAGTCCGCTTGATAAAGAGCTGGCCGCAGTCCCCAAAGCCTCCTCCTTGCCTCCTCCCCTATCACTTACTTATCCTCCCGTTCCCGCTCCGGCAACAGAGACGGCGACCCCCTCCAACGTCTCTTTTGAGGTACCTGTCAGCTCTAACCCCCATTTCACCGGCCGTGAGAAGATCATAGCCGAGATGGAGAACTTCTTCTCTGAGGATGGCCACTACGCCACGCAACAGAAGCGCCTCGTGCTGACGGGCCTCGGGGGCGTAGGCAAGACCCAGATCGCCACGGCATTCGCTTACGATGCCTACAACGCCGGCCGCTACGCTACAGTCCTCTGGGTCTTTGCTGTAGACGAGCAGGAGGTCATCAAGTCGCTCACACAGCTGACCAAGACGCTGGGGCTCGTTCCCAAGATCACCACGTCTCACGAAGACCGCGGGCAGCAGGACATGCCACTCATGGCGCTCGCGCTTCTGCAGTGGCTTTCGCGCGAGGAAGAGCAGGAGTCGCGTCGGTGGCTCCTAGTCTTTGACAATGTCGACGATCTAGACAATCTTGACGTCTCGCGGTTTTTTCCCCGCGTGCCGTGGGGCCATATTCTCATCACGAGCCGCCGCAAGGAGGCCCGCCGACTAGGCCACCAGGTCGAGGTCGGCATGATGGAAGAGGAAGAGGCCGTAACCCTTCTCAAGAATTGCTCTGGCCGTCGCGGAGACGATGAAGAAGAAGCTGCGCGCCATGTCGCTCACAAGTTGGGATACCTCCCGCTGGCCCTCGATCAGGCCGGCGCCTACATCACGGGACAATCCATCGACTTTGCCGAGTACATGGATCTCTACCGCGTGAGCCACGACCAGCTACTTCGGCATAAGCCACCGCGCGCCGTCTGGTCGTACGAGCAGACCGTCTTCACCACTTGGGAGATCTCATTCCACGCAGTGGCCACCAGGAACCCCGTCGCCGCGCGCCTCCTCGACCTAGCGGCCTTCTTCTACTCGGACGGTGCCCCGTTCGCGCTCATGTGCGAACTCGCTCAGATCCGCGGGCCGGAGCTCCAACAACGGCTCCTCCTACGAGACTTTGTCGATTTCGTCCAGACGCCGGCCGACTACGATCGGCTTGTCGGCCAAGTGCCACCGGAACTTATGGTCCCACATCTGCAGGTAGTCGAGGCCATCGGCACTCTTGCGTCCTTCTCGCTCGTGGACCAGAAGACTATGTCAACTCATCCGCTCGTCCACTACTGGCTCAGGGAGCGGCAGTCGAGCGCGGACAGGATCAAGAGCGGCCGCGCAGCCATCTTTCTCGTCATACGTGCCATCGTCAACGCCTACGACGCGTCGCGCTTCGCTGAGGGTGAGGCATTATATCCCTATCTCTGTATCTGCCTCGAAAATCTCTATGATACGCCGGAGCTTCTCAGCGACACGGAGCTTAATAAGATCGGTGCCTGCATGATCGCCCTTGACGCCTGGGTTCCCGTCTCACTCGACCACGGCACGCTGTATCGCGCCGACCGCTTCTTCAACCTTGTCGCCGCCCACAGCGAGCACGCGGACTGGCGGATCCCCGACGGGTTGCTGGCGGTGCGCCGCGCCTTTCGGCTCATGAGCATGGGGCGGCGGAGGGAGTGCAGCGACCACTGCGCTCGCTATCTCGCCACATTTCACCAGCGCTCGCGGTTGGACAAGATGTACGCCTCGTCCCTGGCACAGACCTGTGCCCCCTGCTTTTTCCGCTTAGGAGACTACGACCGCGCCGAGCAAATATATAAGTACTTAGATGACTCACTCGACGACTCGGGCGCAATGCTGGCTCGTAAACAGTTGGTTCTCGGCGCCATCAAGATCGACCGGGGCTTGCCGGGCGAAGCCGCGGCCGTGCTCGAAGGATGCGCACGCGAGCTGCAGAGAGGCATCGGCCAAAATCACTTTTTGCTTCGCGTGTGGCACCAGCTCATGGCTAGATCTCGCCTGGCGCAGAGACGGCCGGCCGAAGCCGAAGCTCAGGTTATGAAGGGGCTGGCGGTACGGATGAACATGCTTGAAGGCGGCAAACTGGAGTTTACCTTTAGTGACTACGAGCTCGCAGAGGTATACTCTCAAGCTCTCCGGGCGCAACGGCGCTTCAAAGAAGCGAAGGCCTGGATGATCGCGCTGCTGGAAAAGACGGCGTCGGAGAAGCCGCGACCTGCCCGGAGCCTTGCGGAGCTGTCGCTGATCATCATCGAGATCGACGAAGCGACGGCCCTATTTGGGGGTGGCCAAGAGGAGAGACGAAGTATTCATGAATTGATGACTAGGGCAGAGCGCAAGTTTGTCGAGGCTGCGGCGGTCTACGAGCTGGAATGGAATAGAGGGATGTGGTCATTCAAGCACTTTCACCAGACACTGGCGG